CGTGTCGGGGCGCGCCGGGTGCTCGGCCTGGGCGCCCGCCGGCTCCACGAACGCCTCGGACTTGGGCTGTGTCAGGAATCCCGCAATCTCGCCAGCGCTCTCCCTGACAGCGCGAAACCCGATCGCGCCCTGACTCGGGCCCAATCTCCGCGATCTCCCGCGCACTGCCGGCCTGCCAGGGCGGTTCCCGGGCGCTGCTCGGCGCCGCGTGGTGCTCGGGGACCCACGGGTGCACCGCCTTGGGGCGGCGAGGGGCGCGGACGCGCTGGGCCTGCGGCTTCCTCCGCGTGGGCCACCTCGCCGCCACCATCCTACTCCCCAGCCCGGGTTAGGAGCTAAGTGGGCCCGTGCCTGCGCTTTGCTGTTCTTTGACCTCTCCGGCTGAAGGTTTTGCACTTAACAATGGTTGCTTTTATATTCGAGAGGGGGTAGTTTTATGCCAAGGAATTAAGAATGTAGTAGTGTTTGTTGATTTCATTATGGGTGAAATCCCAGGTGATGTGGCTTTGAAACATCTTGTGTAAATTATTTAGTGGACGTAGCTTAGTAGTATATTTAGTATTTTGGGGTTTGGATCTCAGATAAAGCTGGCAGGAGGTTAACTGATTTAGGTAGAAAAAATTTTGTGAACATTTTGTTAAATTTAAGAAATACAGAATATAAGAAAAACGTTCATCTTGTGCTACTAATTGTGTTTATTGGACACAAAACATTATCTACAATTTAATTAGGTTCCTCAAGGTGTATTTTATTTAAATAACCTGTATTCATCACTGGTTGGGGGAAATTTGTTTTATAAAAAGTACACTTCTTTTTAAAATTGTGCAGTTCCTTTTCATAAGTGATTGTTGAATACTCGCATTTGAACCGCCTCATCTGGCAGTACACCAGCACGAATCATTCTGAGTGATACAGCATTTTGTAGGAAGTACCAAATAGAATGACTCCTGAGACAAATAAGCATGCACAGATTTTACTAAGCAGCTTCCACCTTCAGTAGAGAGCAAGAGATTAAAAAAGTTTCTTTTAGGTGGTATGTGTATTTGCAGATGGTAAATTGTCCAAATGTTACTTAAACTCTTCAATTCTACAAAAGAGAATAGGTGTGTTTCTCAAATAATTAAGTAAAATGGGAAGAATTGGTATTAATCAAATAGACAAATATGTAACCATAAAACTGACAACAGGAAGGGAAAAAAACCCAGAAAATTGCACAACCAGGACTTTAACCTGGAGAAGGTGGGGAGGGGAGAGGAATCAGAGAAGGCTTCCTTTAGCATTTCTCTTTGCAGGGAACAGTCTTGAATAGCAGTTTGAATTAGAAGTTGGTGTTTAGGGAGGGAGAAAGGATTCTTGCAGTAGAGGGAGCAGCAAAAGCCCCAAGGGCGAAGAGCTAGAGAGGACCATGTGACTTGACTATGAAGCTTGGCATGAGTTCAGACTGGAGCCTAGACAAGGGTTACCATGGCTAATATTTACTTACCCATTGGCTTTCAGTTTAAACTTTACTAACCACCCAATCTAAAGCAGATTTTTCTGTGATAATCATTCATCTCACCCTTTACCTTGTTTATTTTTTTAATAATTATTTTATCTAGCTTCATTTACTTATTATTTTTAAAAATTTTATTTATTTATTTATTTATTTATTTGAGAGGTTTTTTGCTATAGGGCACGTGCGCTCGCCAGACAGAGAGAGACATAGAGACAGAAAACGAGAAATCACCCCCCAGGGGGGATGGCCACGCCGCAATCCCTTCTCCTCCATTCTCCTCTCGGGATCTTGGGCACGTACACACACACGTGCCCGGCGCGTTTTAAGCCACCGGGTCCAGGGCTTGAACCGCGGTCAACCACGTGGGAGTCCAGCGACATAGCCATTATGCTAACTGCTGGTCCCTCATTTATTTATTTTAATTTTACCAGAGAGGGACAGAGTGAGAGCGAGAGTGAGAGTGTTAGAGAAAGCAAGTCGCCAGGTCCAGGACTCAAATTGTGGTTGGCCACATGGGAGTCCAGTGTCTTTAACCACCACGCCACCTGCTGGCCCCCATCCTTTACCTTGTCTTTGTAATGTGAATGACCTTTGATAGATTACACTTTTATTTGTTTAGTCATCTTTCTGTAATACTGAGAAGTTCCGGTGAAAAGACCATGGGACCTTGTGCGTTGTATACACTTCCGTTTCTTAGCATCTGGTACAGAGCTTCCCAGGTGACTGGTGCTCAGTATTGGCTGAAAGAGCAAATTTTAACCTACCAGATGATATACTCAAACTGTGAGTTGTTTTCTTTTCCTTTTTCCTAGTGTCTTGCCTTCCATGACATTTCCCCTCAAGCACCAACACATTTTCTGGTGATACCCAAGAAACATATATCCCAGATTTCTGAAGCAGAAGATGATGATGAAAGTGTAAGTAAATTTCTGACATAATTTGTTTGCTTGCTTTTTAAATTGGAAAATTAAATAAATTTTGTCCTCGAAGAGATGTCACATTTTCATTTTGCTCAGGGCATTACTAAGGAAAAACATAAAAAAACATTAGGACTTCAGGGCAGCACATAGATAATTTGATATTGCTAAAATGGCTATTTTAGAAATAGGATACATTTTATTAACCTGTCATAAGACCAGGGATTAGTATCCTGTGTGATTGAATTGGAGCAAAAGTATAAATATTGAAATTGCGGTTGAAATTCTAGTAATGAAAATTCTTTTAATGGACAATGTGTGCAGAAAACATCAGTGGCATATGCTAAAAATACTAGTATATGAAATGCCAAATCAAATAAATTGTGCCTATCCAAAATAGATAGCAGAAAGTCCATGTCTGTAACTCACAGTGAGTCTCTCCAGCTCAGTCACCATCATTCATGCCTAGTATGTCTGATTTGTGTACTAAATGCACAACTTAGAGCAGGGACTGGCAATCCATGACCTCTGGGCCAAGTCTCTTATTTATTTAGTTATTGTCCAGGGCTGCTTTTACAGGGCAAAGGCAGAGTGGAATAGTCTTGATAAAAGCCATGTGGCCCACAAACTTATAATATTTATTTCTGGCCTTTGTATAGGAAGTTTTCTTGGTTAGAGGCAGAAGCCAGATACAGAAAAACAAACTGCTAGGTATTATCAGAACTAATTTCTTAGCTCTGTAGAAGGAATTAGGGAACTCGTGGAAGAAAGATAAACTTGAAAAGCACAATAGTACTGGAACCACGTGATACATGGTCAGATAGACTTTAATATTTCAGATCCTGTTGGATAGGATTGCATGCTGTAATCGGTGGTAATTTTTTCAAGTTTATTTCCTCTATGAGTGAAAGAAACAGACGGAAAGAGAGGCACCCTCAACAGGGACTAGTCACACCACAGTCCCCTTCTCTCAGTCCTCCAGCTTATCAGGATCTTGAGTGCAGCTATCTGGCCAGGGATTTGAACCCATGGTTGGCTCTGCAGACCACAGCACTGCAGTCCAGTGTGCTATGGACTGTACCATCCAGACTGGGCCTCTGCTCAGTTTTCTACCTTTAGAAGGGTCCTGATTCCTGGACTAGACTTTGCTTCCTAGGTGATCAAAGGTAGCAGCAAAGAGGAATCTCTATACTTTAATAGGTGACGTTCTTCTGTTTCAGCTGGAGTTTCCAAAGGGAGATGATGTGAGATTTTAAAAGTAATTTCTATGAGACAAAACTTGTGGTTCTTATGCTGATTTAAATATAAAAGTTGTTTCTCGCCAGATTGTGAAGACATACATATTAAAAGAATAAATAAGATTTCAAAATGAAAATGGTCTAGTCTCAAGCAAGAATTAGTTGATGAGACTCATTGTTCCTTAATATAAAAATATGATATACAGGAGTGGGCTTATGGCTCTTTATCCACTAATGCAGTTGATTTCATGGAAAGAAGACCACTTGATTTTACCTGGGAGAGTAAGGCATCAGCTAAAATTCTTCCTAGTATTCTTTGTGGTAGGTTACATAATTTTCACAAATATGTGTTATTCTTCCTCAGGGGTAGTTATACTTCCTGCCTCATTGATGTCAGGCCTGGTCATATAACTTGACCAATGAATGCAAGCAGAAGTGATGTATGTGTTTCGAGTGGAAACTTAGAGCCCACACCTGGTTTGCCTTGTTCTCTTTTCTCTTTACCATTATTACTGGTGTATTAGCCTGGACTGCAAAGTGAAAAAGATGCAGACTATAAAATCTAGCCAATTGTGATGAAATGTAGAAAGCACATATATAAGAAAATGTATTGTAAATCAGATATTGAGGTGATTTGTTTTATTGCATGATCAAACCAAACCTGATTGATTTACTCACCCATACCAAGAAATCAAGATGTTTTGCTTTATTGAGAAAACTTACAAGGCTAGACCATGGTGTGGTAGTTAAAGTGACTGGGTCACACATGGCTGGCTATGTGGTTTGAGTCCCAGACCTGGTGGCTTGAGAAATGCCAGGCACATGTGTGTGTATCCCCAAAGTCCTGAAAGGAAGGAGGAGAAGGAACGGTAGTGTGACCATTCCCCATGGGGTTCGCTTTCTTATATTTTCTTAGTGTCTTTCTGCAATGAGCACATGTACCCTCTGGCAAAATTAAAAAAAAAAGAAAGAAACTTAAATACTACTTGGAATATAACTTTAAAATATGACAAGAAATTTTAAATTGCTTATGTTTAGGAAACTTTTTTTTCTTTTACAGCTTCTTGGACACTTAATGATTGTTGGCAAGAAATGTGCTGCTGATCTGGGCCTGAAGAAGGGTTATCGAATGGTGGTGAATGAAGGTTCAGATGGGGGACAGTCTGTCTATCATGTTCATCTCCATGTTCTAGGTGGTCGGCAGATGAATTGGCCTCCTGGTTAAGCATGTTTTGGGGATGATTTTCCCTTCTGTAGGCAATAATCAAGTTTGCAAGTTACAGTATCAGCACACTTAATTTTGCCTGTGTATCGAGAGATTGAGGAAGTAATTTGAAAACCTCATACATAATAAAAGACTTTGTTGCATGGTTTATAGTCTCTCTGAATTCTGCATTTAATTTATTATTTTAAACAAATATATTGGAATGTATGACAGTGGGTTCATCATTTGGGGGTTTGTTGCTTTTTCTTCCTAAGGAGGGCCTAGCATATGAACATTGCATTGTTAGAATGCTGTGAGACTAGTCTTTGAAGACAAATTATAAGTATCATAAATTTAGGTTAAATTTTGAAATATCCTTTCAGGCTAACACATTAGTCCAGGAGAAGATTTTCCAATTGAATTGTCTTTATTTATTTATTTATTAATTGGAGAGATTTTTGCTATAGGTTGTGCTCACTGGAGAAACAGAAAGACAGAAAGTAAGAAATCACCCTCCATGGGGGATGGCCACACTCAATCCCTTCTTCTCCATTCTCCTCTCGAATTTTGGGCACATACGCACATGCCCCAGCGTGAGTTTCAAGCTATCAGCTCTGGGACTCGAACTGCAATTGATAATATGGAAGTCCAGCAATGTAGCTATTATGCCATTTGCTGGTCCCGAATTGTCTTATTTCCTAAGACTGGGAGGGTTGACATGATTAATCCAGAAATGAAAATTAAACAATGTATTGTGTCCAGCCCCCATGTTTCCTCTTGACTTGGGGTAATTTAGAAGGGATAAAAGTAGGTTTGTCACAGAATCTGTGATGACCATGTGAAGCCATACATTGGTATGGTAAATATATTCATATTTTCTTGTTTTCCAAACTTAACCCGAATATTTATTTGAAAGACTTGAAAATATTTTACTTAGAATTTACCGACCAGTTGAAAACACACTGTTATAAATCTGTATGTGCACATTATCAAAAGTATATAAGTTGTACATGAATCTGGCTACATGGAGTTTGAAGAGATAAACTCAGGGTCCAAGTTTTTCTGTAGCCTGACAAGCAAACCTGTTTTTTTTTTTTGAGAGAGAGATTTTTGCTTGCCGGAGAGAGAGACAGACAGAGAAAGTGAGAAATCACCTCCCAGCGGGGATGGCCACACTGCAGTCCCTTCTCCATTCTCCTCTTGGGATCTTGGGCACACTTACTCGCACACTACACACCACCCAGTGGGTTTACGCCACAGGGTCCCGGACTCGAACTGTGATCAACTATATGGGAGTCCAGTGACATAACCATTACGCCATGTGTGGGTCCCTGCAAACCTGTTTTTAATCCTGTCATATACCTTAGCCTTTCTATGGTTCTGCATTGCATACAGCTTAGCTTCCTGGCTTTCCTTCATTTAGGCATGTCCTGCCTTCCAGAATTTGATACTTCTTACTGTTTTTTTCATTTCCTGTTCTCTTTGTGTTTATGGATTTCCTCCATTTTTAATCTCTAAAAAGACTGTTTTAATAGGGTTTCACACATTTAATTGAAAATTATGTCTTTAAAATTTTTTCTTGTTCTTAGTGATTCTTTGTTTTGTGTTTGGGTGGGGGAACGATTGGCCCTTTACATGTGAAAAATAATTGTTTCTCAATTTGTCATTTTTCTCACTATAGAGGAGAATGCAAAAATGCCATCTTTATTTTAAAAATTTCTTTTTTATATTTTTTGCTAGAGGGTGTATGTGCTTACTGAGCGAGACAGAGGGAAAGTGAGAAAGCACCCCGCCCCATGGGGGAAGGTCACACGGCAGCCTCCTCCAGTGTCCTCAGGATTTGGGGGCAGGCATTCACACGTAGCTGGCATATGTTTCAAACTGCTGGGCTGAGGGAACCAGCAGTTAGTGTAATGGCTATATCGCTGGACTCCCACGTAGTCGGCCGCGGTTCGAGTCCCGGACCCGGTGGCTTAAAACTCAAGCCGGGCGCGTGTACGTGTGTGCCCAAGATCCCGACGAGAATGGAGGAGAAGGGATTGCAGTGTAGCCATCCCCCCTGGGGGATGATTTCTCGTTTTCTGTCTCTATGTCTCTCTCTGGTGAGCGCACGCGCCCTATAGCAAAAAACCTCTCCAAAAAAAAAAAAATGCTGGGCTGGGAACTCAGACTGCACAGCTATGTGGGATCCAGGCACTCAAACCACCCTGACACTGGCTACTCATGTTATTTCATAAAAAGACTTTCCCGTTCCAAGATTTTTAAGCGTCATTTTTTTTCCTTTCTTTTCCTTTGTAGTTCTTTTTTTTTCCTTTTTTTTCTTTTTTTTAAGAATTTTTAATTTTGGAACCAGCAGTTGGCATAATGGCTATGTCGCTGGACTCCCATGTAGTTGACGATGGTTTGAGTCCTGGACCTGGTGGCTTAAACTCATGCCAGGCACATGTGCGTGCGTGTCCAAGATCCCGAGAGGAGAATGGAGGAGAAGGGATTGTGGTATGGCTTTTCACCCTGGGGAGTGATTTCTTGCTTTCTGCTTCTGTCTCTGTTTTTCTGGCAAGCGCACACACCCTATAGCAAAAACCACACAAAAATTTACTTAATTTCATTTATTACATTTTTTTTTAAGAGAGATTTTTGCTATAGGGCATGTGCACTCGCTGGAGAGATAGAAACAGAAAGCAAGAAATTACCTCCTAGGGGGGATGACCACACCGCAATCCCTTCTCTATTCTCTTCGGGATTTTGGGCATGCACACACACGCCGCCAGATCTGGGACTTGAACTGCAGTTGGCATCTTCACCACCACACCATCGTCTGACTCCTCCCCTAGTATTTCTATGACTTTATATTTTATATGGGGAGAAGGCCTAGGGAGGAGTTTTGGAAGAGTTTTTGCCACAATAAAGAATGAAATAAAAAGAGAAGCATTTGTATTATGTGGAAGATGGTTGAGTCTGCTACAGGCATATGATCACTGATTTGGTCAAGCCAGTGTTAATAATGCAGACTGCCAGAGGTTTGTCTTGCTGGTTCTGTACATGACCTTTCTGCCTTAAACGGTCTCTTAACAGGTAATAAACCTCAGGCGGTACCCAGTTTTCCTCAGTTCTGGTATGCATACCCTTGTATATAGTTTTTCTTCTTTGAATAAAGGCTAATCGGTGATCAATAGTATGGCAGAAGTGACAGAATATAATTTTTTTTTTGAGAGAGATTTTTGCTATAGGGTGCATGTGCTTGCCAGAGAGACAGAGACAGAAAGTGAGAAGTCATCCCCCGGGAGGATAGCCATGTTGCGATCCCTTCTCCCTTAGTCTCCTCTAGGAATTTTGGGCACACATGCACATGCACTTGGCACCATTTGCTGGTCCCTGATCATCTTATTTTTTTAATTTCATTGCATGAGGAGAGAGAAAGATGGACAGTACTCCTAACGGTGTTGACACCCTAATCTCTACCCACACACTCACCCCCTGCCACGTCAGTCAACCCTGGATCTTGGGCTCAGGAGCTCTTGGTGTACTCAGATTTCTCCAGACCCAAATCTGGAATCTTCCCGTACAGATCTGCCTTACAGTTTAGTGGCTAACTGCTGCATTACCACCTGGCCTCAGATGGTATGGTTTCTGAGAGTTTGTCACAGAGGCATTGTGGTTTACATAATGATCTCTTGGACTGCTTACTGCTACAGGTTGAATGTGTTCCTCAAAAGTAATACGTTGAAATCCTAACCGCCAATGTGATTGTATTAGGAGGTGGGGCTTTTAGTAGGTGATGGGTGGAGCCATTATGAATGGGATCAGAACCCTTTTAAAAGAATTAGCTCAGGTGGTGTGGTAGTTAAGGCCATGTGGAGTTCACATGACTGACTGGTTTGAGTCCTAGACCTGGCAGCTTGCTTTCTCACTTTTTTTTTTCCTGTCTCTTTGTCTCTCTCTGGTCAACTTTGAAAAAATAAAATGAAATAATGACAATGAATAAAAGTAAATAAAACAATTTTTTTTAAAAAAAAGGGTTTTTTTTTTCTATTTACATAATCAAATTCTCCTGTCTCTTTGTCTCTCTCTAGTCAACTTTGAAAAAATAAAATGAAATAATGACAATGAATAAAAGTAAATAAAACAATTTTTTTTAAAAAAAAGGGGTTTTTTTTTCTATTTACATAATCAAATTCTCGAAAGCCCTTTTCTTCTGGCAGGGAGTTTTAGTTAAAATAAAAAAAGGCTGAAATCAAAAGGTGGCATGGTGGTTAGAGTGCTGGATTTCCACATGGCTGACCTTGGTTCAAGTCCTGGATCTGATGACTTACTTTCTAAGTTTCCCTCTCTCTCTGTCTCTAGTGAGCACATGTATCTTAGAACAAATTAAATATGGAACAGCAGGTGTGGTTAAGGGCGTTGGACTCCCACATGTTCGACCATAGTTCGAGTCCCAGACCTGGCAGCTTGCTTTCTCACTTTCTCTTCTCTCACTCTGTCCCTCTCTGGTCAAATTAAGATAAATAAGTAAGTAAATAAGTAAATAAAATAATTAAAAAAGAACAAATTGAATAATAAAATTAATTCTTTAAAAGAGGTGATTCTAAGTTTTTTTCTTCTTTTTTCTTAATCAAGTAGTGATCACCACACCACAATGCCTTCTTCTCCCTTTTTCTATCAGGATTTTGGGCATGCACACACAGACATATGTCTGGCATGTCTCTCAAGCCACTGGGTCTGGGACTTGAACTGCTGAATTGGCCATGTGGGATCTAGCTCCTTCACCACACCACCTGCTGGCCCTCTTTCTTTCTTTCTTTCTTTCTTTCTTTCTTTTTTTTTGATTGTCAGAGGGCATGTGTGATCATCAGAGACATAGATAGATGGAAGCACCATCCAATGGGGTGTGATCACGAACCAGTCCCTTCTCTTCCGTTTTTCTACACTGTTGAGATTTGGGGTATGCACATATTTGTGTTTTTCATGTAGATTCAAATTGTGGTCTGCTATGTGGAATCCAGCTCTTTTAACCACCAGGCTGTAGGGCTGGCCCAAGTCTTTCTCTTTTAATTATGTATTCTAAGTATTCCAAGAGCTGATTCAAACCCTGCCTATTAGTTTTTTCATTCAACTGTAAAGCTATTTGAGAACAGTAGCCGATGATAATAATTACCTCTCAAATTGTCT